AGGATTCCCAACCAAGTACTGAGTGCATTAATGGACATTTTCAAATGTTTGATTGTGTTTTGCTGTTATAAATCTTTTTTTTTTACTTGGTCTGAGGAACTATTCTAATTTTTTGAGATAGGATTTTTGAGTTTTCTTAAGCTGTATGCCATAATCAGCAATATTAAAATAATAAAAGGCTTGCAATATTTCAGTTGATTTGTAATGAATCCAGAATGTATGACATTTTTGTTTTTTTAATTGCATTACAGAAAATAAAGAACTTTATCACAATATTCTAATTTTCTGAGACAGTCCTGTATGTGCGTGAGAGTGTTGTGTGTGTGTGTGTGTACGTGTGAATACATATGTTTCAGAGTGTGTGGAAATTGATTAGAAGCTAAAGAGGAGATGATTAGCACATGTTGACATTAACGGTTGAATCCATACTGAAACCTAACCGGGGTGACCTTTAACATACATGAGCCTCTGGGCTTACGAGTCAATATGATGAGTGACAGCTAAATGTAGGCAGGACGGGAGAAGCGGGAGTGTTTTTAATTCCTAATAGGAGTGCTGTAGAATGTAGGACACAGCTATTATATGTTTTACAGCATCATACATGTTCAAACTTAATTGCCATCATGCTACCAGCTTTATTTTCTATCACATATTTAGACTTTCACATCACCTGAACAAGGATGTCATAGTTAGTACCTTCTGGGACTGTAGGATGTTAAATTAAGTATAAAGACTGATGCTCCAACACACAGCACATATGCCATTTTCAGAAAACACACACACACACACACACACACACACACACACACACACACACACACACACACACACACACACACACACAGTGCATATTCCCTTCTCCTCTCAGGTACCGAGATAAAATAGCTGTGTGCGTCAGTGTGGCGTGACGTATGTTCACCGCATCATCATTGCATTACACCACAAAGATGAACAAAGAATTATTATCTCATTCTCGATCTCTTTATCTCTTTTCTTCTACAGTCTTCGGGCACCAATGTGGTCGTGGACATCGCGGTGATGGGGGAGGCCCACGGTCTGATCTCAGACCTGCTGGCAGACCCTTCGCTGCCCACCAACACCTGCAGCTCTCTGAAGGCCGTCAGCAACCTCCTCAGCACCCAGATCAGCCTGCAGCCGCTCAATCGGCTCCGCATCCCTGCAGACATAAACACCTGCTCTGACTCGGAGGAGGGGCCGGAGAAAACAGAGAGACTGGCCATTCCAAAGGTAAATATTTGTCTCCCTTTAAAATGTGTTTATTTTCTGTTTTTTGGTCCTGTGTGAAATAACATCAATAATCAATATTATATCGATTCAAATGACGATAGTGATTTTAATTGGAAGTTCACTCGCCAGCTAAGAGGACAATTAATTGGGCCCCCAAAGACTTATTGTAAGAATGACACTGATTATGCTCAATAGCATAGTCTTTTATACTGAGTTATATAATACAGATACATAAATTAACACCATGATGACTTGTAGCACTGGACCCAAGCTGAGGGTCAGGACCCTTCCACAGATGTTCAGTTCAATTGTAGGCGTCAAATATGAACTAAAAGAATAGCGAGACATTACAAATCAGTGTGGTTGGTAATGGAAATTCCTATGAAATACCAAATTAACTTTTTGGTTGAACCACCCCCAATTCACCCTCCTGTCGTGTTCGGGTCAAATCTGACCGAGTTACTACTTTCATCAATCATAAATGTTGTGTTTTACATTTGATTGCCTCAAGGCATTATGATATCAGTGGGCATTTTGACATATTAAATTGCTGATCACCACTTTCATTGAATTTTGGGTGGTTTAGTAAACTTTGTGGTTTAGTCAACTTTACCAAAAAATGGCCGCCATGTGAAATGAATGGGTAGCCCTAGATGTTCATCCATCAGATAGTACACACCCACAAACCAACAAAATGCTAATTTTAGAAATAATTTTCAGTGTCGATTCTTTGTATATTCACTGAAGTTATTAATGTAACAAGTAGTCTGAGACATTGTTTACAGCTTAAATGGCTGTTCAATAAAAAGTGGTGATGATTAATGCGTTTTACGCTCATCTAAGAGCAGTTAAAACCGACCGGTCAAATTTGTCCTGGAACACCAAAGTAAGGGGGAAGAAACAAATCTCTCTTTCTCCACACCTCCAGATTCTTGTAGTCTTCAAACCCAACTGACGCAGTGACATTAGTTGAAGCAATTTATCAGATTTAATGCAGCTCCCCCTGGAGCCACAAAAGGCTTTATGCTACTATTATTCAACATATCTCAGGAATCAACCCATGTGTTTTCAGCCTAACAACGTCAACACAGAGCAGATAATACAAAGAAAATGCTAATATATAGAGTTCAGAGGTACTTCTGAACTTCTAGACTACAGTTCTCTGTAGTGTACAGAGAACTGTACACTACCACTAGGCTCAATGACCAAAAAAAGTTATCGAGCCCTCCCCCTCCCTCTCACCAGCTCTCCCCCTCTTCGTCCAACTCTCCCCTACCCCCTCTATCTCCCTGCATGTTTTCACTGACAAAATGGTCCAAAAGTGCAATATGGAATTATTACACTGAACCAACAGCAGAGAATGTGTCAGCTTTGGAAGAGCAATAGCTTTTTTAAAGATCATGCATGTTGAAACGTCCTCTTATGCAGTTTTGTGTTGGAGTGTGTGTTATTCTAAGTAGACTTCATCGGCCTCCTTAATATGTATTAATACTTCCTAGGGCTTGTAAATAGATCTTGATGTTCTCCATCAGGAAGCAAAGTACAAAGGAAATATCTCTGAATAAGAAAACGTAGATGTATTACCATAAGAATTTAATTTTTGTTGTACGCTGCAGTACACCCCCATTCCTCCCCTTACTGCTTGCGTAGTGTGGGGCTCTAATGTAGCTAACAATGACGCACAGGCTTCCAGAGGGCTTTTTAATGTTTTACATGGCCAGTACTTCAAAATGTATGCGTGCACTTAAGGCGGCAAGGAAACTAAGTAAAGCGTGTGATGCAATGCAGGATAGCCTACCAGGAAAGTGACAAGCAGCTTTAACACTGCCTGAGTGCACTCAAATGCTCGACCCATGTAGTGAAACTCAATGAGATGCTGTCTCATTTTAGCTCATTGGGGATTTGTGAGTCTGCATGAAGCAATGGGTTAAAGTTGGTGATTCAGCTGACTTGTGCTGCCCTGTTGTCAAGCTAGAAATAGCAGTTACATAAAGGCAATAAGAAATGTTGATGACCAAGTTGCATTTGTTATTCTGGTGTTTTCTTAGCTAAATGGCACAAAAAAACACTTTGTTTTATTTTTGTTAAACGCTGATAAAACGTTTCAGCTCTCTTTTCCCAGGGTTTACATCAAGCAGTTCTGGCTATTTGTCAATTTTATAGCATCTCCAAAACATTAAACCACACTTCTGGGGCACTGATTTATATTTGTAAAAGTTCATATTACAGCTACACATCCAAATCATCCCAATGGGGCTTTTATTTTCTTCACTTTAGTACAGAAATAAAGAAGCTTTATGACTTTATGTGAGACGTCCAAGATAACATGCAGCAGTTCATTACAGCCAACTTCATGTCTACTTATATTCTTGTCAGCTACATTATTGCATAATAATGCAGTGCAGATGTTTCAGATCTGAATTCAAAGCTGCATTTCCACACAGTAATATAATTCAACAGTGAAAAGCAGACGTGATGCTCAGTGTTTGATCACTCTGTCCTTCTTCAACACTGTTAGATGCCTTTGCATAGCTTTCCTTCACTGTGGGAGGGAAGTATACAACAGTGTGTGTGTGTGTGTGTGTGTGTGTGTGTGTGTGTGTGTGTGTGTGTGTGTGTGTGTGTGTGCATTATCCTAACAAGTTAACAATCAACTTTACTTCCTTCAATCTATGTGATCCTCTGCTGCCCTCTATAGACCATTGTGTGTGTGCCTTTGTGTGCCTTTGTGTGTGAGAGTGAGAGGGAGAGAGAGGGAGAGAGAAACACACTGACTGTACAAAAACAAAAACTGACTGAGTCTGGCTCAAGGCTTCACAACAAAATGTACAACTTTGGATAGATTGAATCCACAGGGGAAACAAGTGTCACTCTCTCTACTTGCCATTCTGTCTCCCATATGCTTACACACACAAGAATGGGCTGGAAGTACAAATAGGGCATCTAGTTTGATGTTAAAGAGGAGACATAACAGTTTCTTTGTAAGAAAATATAGCTCTGAGTTAACTCATTTGCCTGGGGATAACTTGAATTGTCAGTTTAACTAATAGAGCTATTTCTGTGTGGAAATTGCGCTGCGATTCGTTCCTGGATGTTCTATTTGGTCTCTAATTGTGGGAACTGTGTGAACTGTGACTTTTGGGGATTTTTCCCAAACTTTTTCTCATACTTGCCTATCATTTAAAACAAAAACTGTTTAAGGGGATGTACAAATGCCATGGTAATATATTAATTTAACATGAACAAAACTTGCTTTATGAAAACAAGGCCTTGGTATTCATAAATGGATTTACAGTAGAGCAGATGTGAAAAGACAGAAAGCAAGACATTTGAAATGCAAAAGGTACTCATGTTAATTCACATCCAAGAATCCAGGGTATGATAGCATATGTAGGTATTCTAAGGGTGTTGTCATATATACTGTAGTTCTACTTATCATGACATAAAAATGTACTTTTCTTACAAACACACTGGCAAGATATATTCTTTTTGTAGTTTCCAATACCTTGCAACTCTTAGTAGTTTTCCCACTCAAGATTCTGTTCAGTGCCCATGTACAATAATGTTGTCCTTATGGCCTCATCAGACTCCTGAAGCTTCTTCTACAGCCTAAACGTGTGTTTGATTATCTGCCTTACAGCGTCTAAGACGGAGCTTGCCCCCAGGATTGCTCAGGAGAATCTCCTCAACTTGGACCACCACCACCTCAGCTACAGGGCTGCCCACCATCGAGCCGGGCCCTGTGCGCCGAGACCGCTCAGCCAGCATCAAACACACCACAGAGAGGTAACGCTCACACACAATTACATTACAGTTACTATGGACATTACGTTACAGTAACGGTGATGGTTTTCTTACATTGAATCAGTGAATCGTGGAACAACTCCTTGATGATGACCATCTCAAAGAGTCGCTCCATGTCCGCCTCCTATGCTGCCAACGTCACCATCAACCACCTCTACAGCAAACCACTGGGAAGACCAGGTGTGTGTCTGTGTGTTTGTTGAAAAAAATAAGTACATTAATAAGATAAAGACAGAGGAAAACGGGTATCAAGAGGATCAAACTACAGAAAGACGTTTGGATATGAGTTAATATTGCCCTCTCTTTCAGGTTTCCCCCCCTCCAACGTATCACCTCTGGGCTCTCCGTGCCCATCTCCTCCCCACCAGGGCACGCCTGCCTCCAGCCCAACCATCAAGACATGTTCAGTGCAGCTTCCTGAGCTGGCTGTGCCCCTTTTAGAGCAGACCCCTGGCTCTGTGGTCCCCAAGAGCCACCACAGAGCCTTAACTCACAGCCAGAGCGCCCCAAGCTCCACCACCCCTCACTGGCGGCCTGCATCACTCTGCGGCAGGTAACATACATACACACAACATTATCTTCCATTCATAAAAAGTTCCAATTCCCAAATATTTTTTATGAGGCTTTAGATGCGCCTGTTTGTGTGAAAATGAGGGAAATTCGTTTTTTCAATGAGTCGCTTCTCTGCTCTCCTCCCATCAGCTGTGGCAGGCCATTCAACAATCAATTGAACCACAGGGGGGAGTCTTTCGACAAAGGGGACAGAATACCCCATCCAGGTAAACAGCAGAGTAGGTTCTATTATAGATTTTTTCAATCTTATTTTCGAGGTTCATAATATGATTTAAAGGCCCCGTTTTATGCAAAATCCACTTTTTCACATTTTTTATTCATCAACATGTGTCCCCTCTGTGTAAAGAGATTCTGAACGTTTCAGGAAAAAATACTGGCTCACTTTTTGTCCTGATCCATTGTCACCAGTCTGAAAATGAGCCGATCAGATTTTGGCCACTTTATGATCTCATAACGATTTTTTGGCTTGTGTAAACATTAGCCAATAACCAACCAAGGTAACCCCCCCCTCACACACACACACACACACACACACACCTTATCACCTGAATCTCCTCCTAGTAGGGCTGTACCCAAATATCCGACTATTTGTTCGTTGGAATACTATTCGGGTTTCAATTCTGTTATTCGGATATTCGTTTTGTTTGTTTTTCCGTTTTTTCCCCGTTTTTTTTTCAAATAGAATTTATTGAAATCTCCAATATCAACGTAAGAGCTTGTTCGGGGGGTGCTAACACTTAACCATAAATAGCT